AGCCTTTTGTTTCCCTCTGTCCTTTTCTTGTTTTTTTTGGATTCAGCCTGTTGATTGCCTCTGCCTCATCCCTATTGGATTTGTTTGCCTCTACTGATTGTTCTTCTGAGTACTGAACCTACATTTTGACCAGTACAGACTGTGATATTTTACCTGAACTGTCTCCACAGAGTCATGCGTTTGAGCACTCTGACCTGGTTCACCAGTTGCTACAATCACTGCTTTTCCAGCAGCTTTTAAGCCCCTAAAATCAGGTGTTTTACACCAAAACATAATCTTTTCCTCACCATAACCAAGTGACCTTTGTGCCTAAACATAACCTAATGTTAACCACACCATTGTTAACACGTTAAGTTTCAGTGTATCCACTATAATAACATAATAACATGCAAATATAATGAATCTGTGGTTTACAGAAACGTACAGTGCCAACATTCTTTCGAGCAATTGGGTTGCTGGATTTGACAGTGGCTCAGTACCGTTATGTACTATAACATGAGGAAGAAACAGACAGTCCAATACAGAAATATTGTTTGGAAGTATTGATGCCAGGGTTCAAGTATCACCTCATACCTTGGATCATCCATCACTTTTTTCCCCAAAATTTTGATCATATTTTTTCCTCATCTGATCATGACTAAATCCTGAACTAAACTTGAAGCGTGGTTGTTTTAGTTACCATATCATAACTCTGTCCTTTTTGTGCTCAAAGCACACCAAAGGACAAGCCAAAATCCCACAGCACACCTGTATTTATATTATATTATGTGTCACACACTAGAAATTCCCACGTGGAAATGGCAACAAATAGGTTCCCCATTAAAGGTTTTTAAATGAAATGACATTAAATTACATTTTTAGCTAGATTTTACCTCTTCATGAGGAAATGGGTGCACACAACATACGGATACAGTCAATTAAGAATTCACTCATAACTTTTTGTATAGGCCCAGTTGAATATTGCAGTAATAATGTGTGGTTATCACAAAATCCTAGAGCACTACTGGATTGTCGTCACCATTTGAGAACCACTTTTAAGTAGTTTGACTCTTGCTGTTGCTGGGGATAAATCTCTAATAATTTCTCCATGCTCTTTAGAAGGTTTCCCAAACAGATGTGTTACCATCTGATGTCTAATTCAAGGAATTATAACATAATAATGTTCCTTTATTGCAGTTTCTGTATAATCCACCTCCCTCCTAGCCTCATATATATATATATTTCTATACATTTATTTCCTTTATTTTGTCTCTTCCTCTGGTGATTATTCCCCCTCCAGTCGCTGCACAGCTCTCTGCTGCTCCTCTTGTTTTCAGTGTCACGCTCCAGCATTGAGTCCAAGTTAATCGGCTTTATTGTGCACTTTTATTGCGCTGCAGAGCTTGGCAGTGAGCAAAAAAGATAATGTGTGTTTATGAGCTCCCATCTTCTAAATTTGTATGAGATGGCTTAATTGGGGCAATATCTTAACAAAATCTTGTAGTGGTTCTGCACCCAAGGGAACAGAGTGTATTTTCAGACAAAGCGGGATATTTTGGAAAGCACAGAGAGCTTCTACAGAGAGGGTTGAGGTGGCAGGGACACAAAAAAAAGAAACACACTTGGATTGAAATGTTAACAAATTTTTCATTCCAGTCCCCAAGGTGCCGGTTCACACATCGCTGAAGGAACTTTTAATTACATTCACGACTCACAGCAGAATGACTAATGAGAATTTTAGGCTTTGTGGATCGTTGTCATTATTTTTTTGGATTCACCCCTCATGGAGGCTATTCCAACTAATTGTTACCCGGCAACTCCATCAGTGGCTCAGCTCAACTTGTTTTATATGTGAGTGAGTCCAGTTCATTTATTTGAAGGCTGTATGTGGGGTGTTTAGGTCCTTTAGGGTACGCTCAGGGTGAGAAGCTAATAGAGCATATGGTAAATCTCCTCATTTAAAGATTCCTTCCAAGTGTGCTGTTGGCTGCTGAGCACACTGACAGGAGTCATGTGGCTACAATCATTTCTAAAAGGAGAAGTTAAGTGTTGAACCAATTAATTTGGGGCTGTTTTGGGGGGTAAACCAACCAACAATCAGCCCCATGTTAGATTTACTCTCTCCTTAAAACTTAAATAAATGTAGACAGAAATTTACCATATGCATGATGTAATATTCATATTAACGTTTTCTAAAGTGAATTGGATATAAGCTGTCTTTGTCATCAGGAGGTGGAGGGGATGGAGGATGGTTTGTAATTTAGGAGAGATGCCTGCCAGGCTGCAGACCACTGTTCAAGACCAACAAAAACCAAACCGGCTGTGTGTTAGCAAGTCACTGCTTAGGATCCAAATGTTGGCACTTTGTAGTGACGTGTCAGCTGGGATAGTACCATGAAAAGTGGTTGAGTTTCCTGCTGGGATTGTGGCACAACAAAGGGTTGTATTTTTACTAAAACATCGCTTTGTTTCCTGTGAAGATAGGGGCAAATAAAGTGGTTGTTTTTTATCAGGACATCCCTGCATTTCCTGCGAGGATAGAGGCACAAAAGTGGTTACTTTTTAATGAGACACTGCTGCTTTTCCTGCCTGAAAGAGGCACCAAAAATGGTTGCTTTTCACTGAGACATTGAGTCATTTTCTGTTGAGTTAGGGCACAAAACACAGTTGTTTTTTTACTGAGATATTGCTGTGTTGCCCGCAGGTATAATGACAGGAAAAACGGTTGTTGTTCACCAAGACATCACTGAGTTTCCTGCTGAGACAGGGGCAGTTAAAAAAGTAGTTTTTTACCAAGACATTGCTGCATTTACTGCAAGGGTAGAGGGACAAAAAGTGGTCGTGGTAAACCAAGAAATTGTTGCATTTCCTGCCCAGATAGGGCCACAAAAAATGGTAGTGTTTCACTGAGACATCACTGCATTTCCTGCAGGGATAATGGCACAAAAGCAGTTGTTTTTTACCAAGACATTGGTGAATTTCCTGTAGGGATAATAGCTCAAAAACAACTGTTTTTTTACTGATACATTGCTTTGTTTCCTGCAGAGATAGGGGCGAAAAAGACGGTTGCTTTTTACAGAGACACTGTTTTATTTCCTGCAAAGATAATGACATAAAAGAGGTTGTTTTTTACCGAGACATCGCTGCGTTTTTTGTCAGAAAACCAGGTATTTTAAGCCAAGTCATGATCTTTTCTGACCATTTATTGTTTCTCAACCAAACCACACATTAACTGCAGCATTGTTGAAACATAAAGTTGGAATGTATCACCTACATAAGGACATGCAAATGCAATGCACCTGTGGTTTAGAGGAAACACACAATGCCAATCCTTTTTTCTGGCGATGGGGGTGGTAATATGTGAAAAAAAATGTTTTTTTTTAGTGTTTCTCTGAATGCGTCATTGAGCTTGTAATTTATGTTAACAAGCTGAAGGTCACAATTCACCAAGCATTCCACTTTATGCCACAAAATCCATTGAGTCTAACACATCTCGAGGATTCAGTGTTTCTCCCAACAAATCAACACAACAGATTCAGTCGGTGCTGGCCCCCGTGCACTGCCGTCACCATGGCAACACCTTTTCCTCCTATCTCTGGCTGCCGTGTAACCACCTTGCACCTGTCTGGAGCGCGTCCTGGGAAGTTCTTATCAGGTTTTGACTTTGTCACTCTTCACTAGGCAGCGGGGGAGAACTGAATTCACAATGACTGAAAAGCTGCAACCAGCAAACATAAACAAGCTTTTCAAGACAGACATGTTTTTCTTCTGCTGACAATTTGTGAAGCCACAGAGGAAAATGCAATGGGAGTTGGGTAGTAGGATGTAAGAGTTACCTATCGGTATGGGCTCTTGGCATTTAAGAGGAACTTTAAGACGAGCACGTCAGACCTGACAAAAATGTCAGATAAATAGTTGCATCAAGTTCTTAAAGTATCTGAGAGGTGTGGGGCTTAGCCAGCTGCCACTTCCACCATTTCTGGGTATGTCTGTAACTTCATTTTCATCACTTCTTTCCTTATTCTCTCACAAATCAATCTTCATACAGCTCTCTGTCTTAGTATTTCATCCTCTCTCTTTTTGTCTCTGCTTTGTCTTTCTGATAAGAAAGACGACACCTCAGATCTGGCGTGGGACTTGAGCTTCATTTTGTTTGTTCTTTCAGCACAATGGGGATCGGTGAGCAAAAGTGCTTTTGTTTGCTCTGTCGAGTCCAGAGGGCCCCATCAAACTTTGTGTATACCTCGGGGCAGAGGTACAGACGGTTTCACAAATCTCACTGTACTTACAGTATTCCATCTTTTATATCACATCCACTGAGCGTTTTCTACAGAGAAATACAAAACCGTACTAATGAACCTTCATTAATATAGGCCTATAATTTGTACATTATGTTGTAGTGGATATGTTAAAACTTTCTTTCTCAATAAGGTTGTGGTTAATGTGCGGTTGGGTTAAGGTACAGAAATCACTTGGTTTGATCATGTTTTGGCTTAAAACACCTAGGGTCAGTGGCACAAATGCTATTGGGAAATGCCATTATGTGTCAGTACAAAGCAAACAGATTTGGTGCTACAAATGCAGCTGTGAAATGCCGCAATTCGCTACAATGAACACCCAGGTTCACTGAGCGAAAACACCGTGATGAGTCAGCAAAAACAACAATAAAGTCACCTCATATACTTTGTCACTCTAGAGACGTTGATGACACATATAAAGTGTGCAAATGCAATGTCTTCCTGGTTTGCAGAAACTTATAAAGCAACTTCTGGTGACTGGGCTGTTAGACTTCTGGAAAGAGAGAAGTGTCCCTGAATTTATTCTACTAGAAATACTAACTAAAACCAGATTTAAATAACAGTATGTGTCCTGTCTGAATCTCTCCGTCATTCATTTTAAGTTTCAGTGCAGTTAATAATGGCTAACCACTCAGCACTGATACACAGAAATGATACCACTTAAGGCCTGATTTAAAGTTTAATCAGCATCATCAAAGGAGGGAAATCGCAGTGGCTACTCACACATTGAAGAGATTGAGGCCGATGCGGTAGAGGCGTTTTCGCATGACGTCAGTGGACAGCGTGGGTGATTTACAGCTGGCGGGGTTCTCACAGTGGTAGCGTGGCAGGCTGAGGATCATGGCCTGCAGTGCCTCTTTGGACGAGGCCTCAGATGTGGAGCGTGCCTCTGTGGACGTGCTGCTGCTGCTCATCTGCTCCGAGCTGTTATCTGCTGTCTCCGAGCCGCACCTCTTGACCTCCAGCGGCTCTACCACGGGCGAGCTCCGCTGCAGGGGTGGGGGGGCGTGAGGGGGCTCTGTGGGTGGTGGCACCACCACTACAACCTCCTCTGGGCTTTGAGGGGCTGCCATCTTATCCAGAGGGGTTAGGGGAGGCTGCTCCTCCTCCTCGAGCTCTTCTTCGCTCGGAGGAGGAGCAGGGAATTCAACATCCTGCTCGTCTTCTTCTTCTTGGGATTCTGGGGGTGGTGGGGGTTCTTGTGGTGGCGGCGGGGGATCTATAGGTGCAGCTGGAAGCTCTGCAGGGGGTGGAGGGAGTTCTTGTGAGTGGGCAGGAGGAGCGAAGGCTGAAGTGGAGTTTGTTGTTGTGGAAGAAGGTGTGACAGTGGTGGGGGTTCCTTCCTGTTGGACGCAGCTGCCGAGGGTGACGGTGGACGATTCCATGACTGAGGACGAAACACGGAAGTTCTGGCTGTCAAACTGCACCGTCACATCCCGGAACGCCATCATCAGCTTGCTCGCACTTCTCGACAGGTCACTTGGGTCGACTGGGGCTTGATGAATCGTTGACTCTCCCACACCAACTCCTTCTCCTCCACCTCCACCTCCTACTCCTGCTGCTGCTGCGGCTGCTGCAGCTGCACTGAAGGAGTCGGTGCTGAACTGATAAGTGCCGCCTTCTTGCAGTGAACACATGGTCTTCAGGCTCCAGTTGCTGAGCGCATCGTCGATGGACTTTGCCAGTGACTGGACCTGTTCAGTGAACGAGTCTTCCAGGTCGGTCAGGGTGCCACCGACTGTGGCAGGCAGAGATGGCGAGCGCACCAACGGGATGCCTGTCAAGTTGCAGCCTTCTGCCAGGGCCCGTTCAGCAGAGAAACCCTCCGTGTTTTGCACACGGACCTTGCGCAGGGAGATGCGTCGAGGCAGGCGACTCTCCAGCAGCGAATTACGGATCTTCTCAAAGTTCTTGCTGAGCTGGTACTGGCGGAAGGCGGTCTGGATCTTGCAGGCTGCACGGCGGGAGATGAGGTGGCCACCGTATTTGTGCTCTAACATTTCGATCTGAGAAACAGAAGAGAGAAGGATACAGAAGGAAAATAATGAGTTGCTGGGATTTATGTTGTGTTTTTGAATTTCTAAGACAAAAAGAACAGACTAAAACCTGCCAGGACAATCTGAAATTATGGATGCATATTGATCAGAAATTGCAGAGTAAACACAAGGTTAACACAGATTGATCAATCCAGGGATGGCTGAGCCCATGAAAAGGTCCAGTGAATGGGCCCTCCCTATATCGTCTTTACTGATGATGCTTTCTATGCACTTTTGCTACAGTGTTTGAAAGCGCAAAATACAATGTTATGCATTGTTATTAACTGGTATTGTCGACAGTATCTTGGTTTTTGAACTAGTTGTACCGGAAAGCAATTAATTCCGGTGCGTGATCTCACAGCCAGCTCCGACCTCCGACTTGGAACACAGCAGCTCTCTGTCTCTTTATTATATAAGTAGGTCAGATCATGTAGCAAGCTTCTTTATTTCTTCTCGTAATGGCTGCGTACAAAAAAAATCAATAACAATAGCAACAATAACTAATCAATGTCATTTCTGTTTGTCATTGATGCTGCTCTGTTCTGTTCTTGGGGGTCTTTGCTGCTGCTCTCCCTGCCTTAGGGTTTCCATGTTTGCGCATGGAAGGGCAGGGAGGTTTGCTCTTTGCCTCAGGCTTTCCTCATTTGCATGTGGAAGGACAGAGAGGTGTGCTATCTCTGCCTTATGGCTTTCCATGCAGGCACGTGGAAGGGCAGAGAGGTGTGCTATCTCTGCCTTATGGCTTTCCATGCAGGCACGTGGAAGGGCAGAGAGGTGTGCTCTCTCCGGCTCAGGCATTCCACGTACCCCCATGGACAAGGCTTTCTGTGTAAGCCCCAGGAAAGGCAGAGAGGCCCCAGAAACAAGCCATACCACCAAATATAATACTGAAAATGGAAATTAAGTTTTCTTAAGTGTTCCTGACTGAGGTTTATTTGTGTTGTTTTAATAAGCATTGCTTAATATTTTCAAAATAAAACGTTGCTTTGCTTATATTTAAGATAAACACAATTATTGCTGACCCCCTAGGTGCTGGGCCACTGGGAGTTTTCTCCTTATAGGAGGCCCTGGGTAAGATGAAACATTGCCTAGGAATCCCATAATAGGCTGCATCACAAATGTAATATTTGTGAAAAGGTCACCGCAGGTGATTCAGCATTTTTCATATTCTCTTGCCTGTCGCTGTGGTGCATGGAAGATGAATACAGCATATGGGGTGAATAGCAGTGAAAAACAGGCGGAGTGTGGGTGGGATATGAATGAGCTGGGCATTAAAAAAGGGAACGGGATAATTGTGGTGGGAAAAGAAAAATAAATGAAATCCCAGGAGGTGAAAAAGGTTGTGAAGTCCAATTTTTGGAATGAGTAGGCAAAATTCACATATTAAAGTTACTCCAGATTCAAACAGCACTGAACCTCACACGATTCAGTGATTCTATTCTGCAAGCTGGTCTTGTGATGTGTGTACTGACACTACATACAGTTTGGTCAAAGCCACAGTTTGAAAGGGAGAGCACACACTAAAGGCTGACTCATGGCATTTGGACAAACTGTTCATTTCCTCGGCAAATAGAACTCATAATCTCCACGAATTCTATAGAGGGGTCCTCCACGCAACTTAAAATTGTCTGAAACTGAACAAGCCATTAATCTTGCCTGTGAAAAATTGCTTAAATGCTGTGGGAAATAGATAGAGATGTAATATAGCCATTCTCATCTGGCAGCAGCTCAAACACGAGATGAGACCTCTTTGAGTTTCCCAGAACAATCAGGGTGTGGGTATCTTTGGAAGTGCCCAGAAAGCGCTCTTATCTTCTGCCGTCACTCTGAAATCCTTTTCATTCAGTCTAAATCAATGAATATTATTCTGTTTCTGTTCTAACTGCATCAAGGGCAGGAGTGTGGGGGAGGATTCAGCGTTGAAAGAATAGCTGTCCCACAATCTGTCACTTTAGAAAAGTGAAAAAATTGACATGTTCTAAATATGCTGCAAAGAAAGTGCACATTAAAAATAGCACAGCAGTTAATTCTAGGAAATAGAAAACCTTGCTGCTCCCTCCCTCCTTCGGTGTTTTCTTGTATCAGTACGATGTGTACATGAGGATTAATGTGTCCAAGTAAAACATCCCTCCTGTAAAGTCAAAATGCAATTGAACGAACAGTTACCGCAGCCACGAAGGATCAAAATGTGACTTTCAGCTGCTAATCTCCTCTCGCTTTAGTCCTGGACAAAGTCACCCAACCACCTCCTGATAGGCTGTAATGCCTCGAGGGTTTGCAATTTGTGATAAGTGGTTAGTTCAACAAGATGCCGCCTCGGCCGCTGTCACTGGAGGAACGGAATCACATACAAAGCTCTTTAGAAAAGTGGAATGACACTGGAAATCCATCTTATCTCCTCCATTTACATTTCACTGCAGAGCCTCTGCGAGCAAAGTGAGACGCGCTGAGAATATTAAGGTGGCTTCTGAATAGGACGCTGGTTCGGAGCTCTACTGTATCTGCTGATGGTGACTTCTCAGTCAACTCTTGCAGACTGTTCGAACTCAGCCTGAATATTCATCACTTTTTAATCTGGACTGTTCAGTGACAGCACCGTGTGCACTCTGGAAATGACAAGGTTAGCCTTATTGGCACGACTGCGCTCCAAAATAGACCTGGTGTGGGTTTTTCTTTTTTAAAGACAGGCACAACGGTAATATGATTGACCTCATTACTCAGAAAGGTGTCCCTCATCAAAACAAATTGTGCAAAGAGTTCCACTGCAGAGGTGCCCTTGGTAGTGAGAGAGGGCCGTCAGCGTGGCTGCGTTTGATTAAATGTGGCAGTGGAGCTTGTTTGTTTTGCCTTCTGCGTAAGCAGGGTCGGGGATGATGAATAAAGCATTTGGGTCATGCTGCTTTCTTTATCAGAGTGCGTATCTGATACACTTTGCCATTCAGATGGAACTGCAGCCACCAGGATGAACTGGGACAGGACGGATGGAGGAATGAAGCATGCAGAGGAAGGAAAAAACTGGACAAGATTTCATAACAGTCTAGCAGGGATTGTTTTGGGACTAGAGACTGATGGAATATTCGGACATTAAAAATACCCCCAACAATTTCTATAACCACTTACTGTGAATGTACGTTCAATATTCACTCTCTTTTAGCTCTGTTTTTTGTCCCTACCAACTAAAATATCTGGCTCTTTAACAGCTAAATGCTCAGCTTTGATCTTAAGTTATTCACTAACTGTGTCTGTCTGTTGTTTGGTGCCAAGCAGGTGATGTACAGTGGGCTTTCAGAGCTTTGTTTCTGAATAGCTACAGCTAACAACAAGCTATGAAAGCAGTGACCCTGTGTCGCAACACACTTCGTGGAGGCTGAAGCATTTAGCTTACACTTGAAGTCTTTGTTTGTGAGAAAAGCTAAATGATTAGTACATCATAACAATTCATAGTGTCTGACAAACAAGGAGTATCAGTCAACACACCTACAGCTTTCCAGTACTCATTAAAAGGTGCTTCCTGTCACTTAGGCTACTGTTTTCCTGTTATTCAGACAACCAGCTCCAAGAATAATTGTTTCTCCAAGCATAACCAAATTTGGCCTAAATCAACACCAGATCATTTAGCTGAGGTCACGTCAGTGTGAAAGGTTTATGTCAGGTCACGTATACAATAGAGTCTATTTTTCCAACTGTTCTCATACACTGTTTGTACATTTCCTGTGAAAAGTAATGCACCAAATTCCGTACATATCCTACGTAATCATGAGCCAGTAGTTTGGTCGTGTGACCAATGCACTGACGTGATGACGGAAGTGGTCATTGTGAGGATGAAGGTCAAGGTGGACGGGTCACAAAAACACCAGAGCCAGAACCACATGAAATTTGAGTAATTTTAAGTAAGTTATCACCATGTTTCTTTTCCGAAATCGAATCTACATAACTTTACTTTAAGTACGTAACGTCCTTCGTTGGGCCCTAACTCGTAGGATGTCATACCAAGCTTTGTGATTGCATGTCGTAGAATATCATGCGAAGTGTTGTATGAGGGTACGTTGATTTTCTTTCAACAATATCCTCCTGAGACATGAACTTTCGTTTGGTATGCATTTTTAATTTCTCTTAGCTATATGGGATCAGTAGGAGTAAGTATAAAAACCTAAACATCGTCAGCTATAATCAAGTCCCAATGTCTTCAAACGAGTACTTCCTAAATAAGAGCATCTTATCTTGTTACTGTTGCTAAAATTAGTCAAGTTATTTGCCATATCAAACTACAAACATTATTAATCCTAAATAAACAAGTTTCAACTATAAAATGTGATCAGGTTTTGAATCTTGTCCACTTTTGTGTTGGGATCGGCTGCAGACTGACTTGGCAGAGATGGCTGCCATCTTGTTTTTACATGTATTAGTGTATTGTGCTCTTACTACCACTATATGGCACAGAAAGTGTCCACGAACGAGGACAACAGGTCTAAGTTAAGTAGAATGAAGTATAAGGTCAAATAAACCCAAAATGTGATGTCCTCATATGAGGACACAGGGTCTCAGGAGGATATGCATGTGAACGTGCAGCTGATGCCCAATAAAAAGCGCTCAATAAATATTCTTATCTACATTTTGCAACCCAGGCGGAACAGAGTGTGCTGCTCTCTGGACGAGGCCACAGAGCAGCACACTCTTTTGAGGTTTGTAATCTCACTCTGCCTTCACTTTTTCCCATTAGCTGAAAAGCAAAACACATGAACTTTTGGAGTTTAGAGGTGCTGCAGTGCTTATTCATGGGCAAACTGTAATCTACACTGAACATTTACTGCCACGACTGCACAAGGCACAGAAAGTTCAGCTGCTCCTTTGCTGCTTGACGCTTTGAAACTCGTCAACAAAACAGAGACTGTATAGACAGTAGCTTCAGTGTTGGTGTGAACGCTGTTGTGTCGTTTGTAGAGGGGGGTGAGAGTGAACCAAAACAGTAA